GTACTGTACCCTGCAGGTGCCCAGTTTCCATAACATTAATGTCCTGCTTGTTGCTTCCTTCTTCTTGCCTTCCTCCAGCAAGCAGCAGTGACTCTTGTAACTGTGGTTGTAATCCATTCAAATCACAGACAGTATTATAAAGTGTTACCAAGTCTAGGCCTTCAGAACTGAACTTCTCTCGTGCCATATGGTCATGATGTCTCCGTGAGAACTTTGAATGCTGTATTCACGCCTAAAACAGTGTGCATTGAAAATATAGCAGTGCATCTATTACATTTGGGCTGTAGCTGATATGTCCATTTCTGGTTTCCAGACTCTTCCATATAGCCAGTGCCAGCTTGGATGTACTGGAGGTTGGACTGGCTCAGATGGCCTGTCACAACCATTTGTGCTGCTGGTTGACTCTTGTCCCACCTTGACTTTAACCAGGCTCCAGGTCTGATAGTCTGGTGCCCTTCAGACTCCTTTTTGAATAATATCAGTTCATTTTGGTTTGATCCAGACCACTAATCAAACTAAAAAGGGTTTTTTACAGTAACCACTTGTGAAGTCACAAGTGGAACACCTCAGGACCAGTTTTGAACAGAGGAAATTGCAAAAAAATAAAAATAAATAAAAAATTGTGACTTACACAAGAACCTCTTTTTTGCTGTCTTTGGGCTGAAACTTGACCTTGAAGCTGCTGGTGGTGACCTCACCGGGGTACTTCCTGTCCTCTAGGTTCTCCTGGTCCTCTTCCTCACCCTCAGATGAAGTGTACGAGGGAGCCGCGAACTCCACCTGAAGCACAGTGAAACATGAGTTTCTCACAGCTCAGGTACCCTCTGATAAACATTTACTTTCTTCTTCCAGTGTGGTGCGTTCAGTACCTCCTCGTGGTCCTCCTCCTTCACTCCACTCGGCTTGGTGAAGTCTAGCGGCCCCTCCCACTCTGGCTGAGTGTGGCCCTGAGACAAGGTGGCTCCCATGTGTTGAGAGGAGGAAGATGAAGAGGACGAAGGCTCTGGAGACTGCATACCCTCCCTCTTGGTCTTCTTCATGCTGAGGTCCAAGGTGCCATTTTCATCCACCTCAATGTCTGACTCCTGTAGGATGAAGATTCATGGTGCTACAGTGTCAGAGAACATGCCGTGCGTTGTGCTCTGATAAGCTCGGCTACAAAAAAGAGAGGAATCTGTGTGAAGGAAAGCCGGTGTACCTTGGTGCAGGGCTCCTTGGGTTTGGTGCTGAGAGCCTCTGGTCTCTCCCAGCAGCGCGTGGACAGGTTGAGGATGGCTGTTGCCGCCATGTGGGCTGCCTCTGCATCTTGGCTATAGTCATAACCGCTGGAGGACAAGGGGCTCTTGGAAAAGCCTCCGGACACGCTGTGACTCGGGGAGGACGCCTTGGGGAATGATTTAGCTGTGTGAGAATGAAGCAGAATGAATTTACTAGAGCAAAAGAGAAAGAGAGCAGTATCCAAGTAAGCGTCTGCTCATGTGCAGCCCAAAATGTGTGCCGTGGAGATTGTTCTCGCTGCAGACTGACTGCACCATGAGGAGGTCTGTCATCCACACCTTTATCTGTCATATGAGCTCTAATTGAAGTAGTCACCGTCTGAATTTGTGCGTAGACTGATGAGGACAGTGACAGCAGACAATGAACACACATGTGACTCTGTTCTACACTACATTGGCCTTCATGCTGAAAACACTGTGGGCATGAAGCTGTTTCTGAAAGACTGTGACTTTGCTTTTGTTTGTTTTTTTACAGGGTACAGCAGCTACTTACACATTGGACTATAGCACTGTGAGATTATTTATGAGGTGTGCTGAGCAGACACACAGACACATGGTTTCGGGGGACTTCAGAACTTCCCGCTGTGTTTGGGCATCACTGATGGAAAGCAGGTATCATCAAAGCTGAGCAGCGACTACTTGGATGATCAGCAAATACACTTATATCAACCTCCTGTTTTAACATCCATCCATCCATTATCTATACACCACTTAATCCTCACTAGGGTCGTGGGGGGCTGGAGTCTATCCCAGCTGACTCAGGGTGAAGGCAGGTTCACCTGGACAGGTAACCAGTCTATCACAGGGCTACACTTAGAGACAGACAACCAAGCACACTCACATTCACACCTACGGACAATTTAGAATCACCAATTAACCTCAGCATGTTTCTGGACTGTGGGAGGAAGGCGGAGAACCCGGAGAGAACCCACGCTGCATGGGGAGAACATGCAAACGCAGAAAGATCCCGGGTGTCCTCACTGGGACACGAACCGGCGACCTTCTAGCTGCGAAGCGACGGTGCTAACACCCGAGCCACCTTGCAGCCCTGTTTTAAAATCTGTTGTTTATATTTGTTGTCTGTTAATCAGTGCAACCAGCTTATTATTGTGAGACCTTTAAATTACTAGTCTGATATAATGAATACTAAGTGATCATTTTGGCTGTTAAACATCAACAACAGCCTCAAAAACCCGGTGCTGGTTGGGCTCTGATATGGATGTACTGTAACGTAACATCACCACATTTGTCTTACCAGCCAAGAAAAATAAAACAACAATACATCAAAAACAGCATCATCTTTGTGGAGACCAAAAAAAACTCTTTCATATAGAATTTGTTTGATGAATTGTAATACTTTCTACATGTCTGAATCTAACATAGAAGTGGAGCAGGGCTCTTACATTTGAAGGCTTTAGGTGATGTTTCAGCTGTGCTGGGTGTCTTTGGAATGAGCATACGCTTTCCAAACACCTGGACATCAAAGCTTGCATAGTCAAAAGACACCTTGGAGTATTTCTCCAGCTCCTTGGCGAGGTTAGCTCGAGGCGTGGTGGTCACTGTGTTGGGCCGGTAGCTGCCGTACTGAGGGATCTCCAGCTGTTTCACGAAACACATAGGCCTGGACCAAAAGTCACAAGTTAGTGTCATCGCTCAACAGACGTGGACATGCAGCGTATTAAAAAAACAGAAAACGAACTTGCTTGCACGTCTCACCTGAGCACTCTGTCAGAGTTGGAAGAAGGTTCGCTGGATGAAGCCTGTAAATGAACCTGTTTGTCCTGGTTCTTGTTCAGCTTAGCTGCTGCTGCGATCGGGCAGCCGGACAGACTGAAAGAGGAGGCGTGGTCAGACGTTTGCATTTAATGAAATAAAACTCTGACAAACAGGTAAACATTCAATCATTGACAAGCCGGTATAGGTATATGTTAGTGGTATTAGCTGAGGCTGGTTCTCTTTGAGGTTCCACTCAGAATTTTCTGCAAACATATCGACGGAAATGTTTATCTTCATTATTCTAATCATTCTCGACTTCACTATATTAAACTAAAATGCTGCCAAAACCACCGACAAATGTCTATGATTTCTGTACGGCTTATGTAAATTTGTGTGCATGTGTGTGTGCGTCATGAGTGTTTGATTAACCTGCGGTGTGTGTTGCGGTTGCTGTTGACATGTCCTTGGCCTGTGCAGCCAGGAGTGGGACACTTCAAGACGTTCTCATGCATGGCCAGGACTACAGACACACAGCAGATGCAAACTCAGGTCAGTGGACGGTTACACATCAGTAGCAGGAGTCATAAGAGCAGTTACGCAGCACAAACATGAAAGTATTAGTGGCATTATCAATAACAGAAGGATGTCATAAAAGTCCTAGTGGTAGTGATTATAATCAATAAAACAGCAACAGTGTAGATATAAAAAGTCAAAGCTCTCAAGCTGCTGAGCATCTAAAATTCATCATTGATTGAATTTCCCTTCTGGGATGAATAAAGTATTTTTCATTTCATTTTTCATTTCATTTCATTTCATTTCATCTAAATGAAATGTGTGTTAAGATGACTGTGAAAAGTCTGAACGTGACAGAAAACACATCAGGTCACGTCAGGGTGCTGGTCTGTGGTGTTTGGTAGCGTGTCCTCACTCTCTGGAGGGATTCGGTCTTTGTGAGGACATCCGGACAGACTGCGATGATGAGGGTACAGCCCGGTCACGTGACCCGTCCCGTCGCAGCCCGGGGTCGGACACTTCACCTCCTTCTTTTCTGAATAACAGGACGTAGACGAGGATTTAAAGCACGCACGAGAACTACAGAGGCAGACATTATCAAATACACACAACATAAATACATTTTGATGTTGGTTTGCCAACAACAGCCTGGAACTGGTAAATAAATATAAAGCAGCGCTGTACAGGAATCCGCCTTTTAATTTAAGGAAGTTGCATCACACTCATTACTCAGTGACTCTGTTGTTATCTGTTAATTAAATTGTTGACTAATTACAGAAACAAGAGCACTGAAAGGATGATTGTCGGAAGCCGCTCACGTAAACAAAACCCGGTGAAGGAAAATATAAATGGGGTAAATTTCACACTATATGTGGCAAAAATGCAAAATTGTTCTAACAAATGCAATAACAAAGTATTAACACCAGACAGTTCTACGATATAATGTTTAACAATACTAAATTATAGGCTGTTTTCTTTTTTTGCAACCATTATTTATCTCCTTCAGTTGTGTTTCACTCATTTTTTTTCCTCTGTTCATCTATTTTCTGGGTAGTTTCACTTTCTTTTGAATGAAGACACCCCAGAGGCAGATCCAGGAACAGATCAGCCTCTCCTGGACCCTTACTGCTGCTTTTCTTCTTTTCTCCCCAACACAGGAGGTTTTTATATTCAAATAATTACATATTATTGTGGCCATTTAACTAATAATAAAAGGTTGGATATGAATAACAAAAAATGCATGCTGTAAGCTAGCTGTAGGGATGACCCGGATCGGGGCAAATCGAAGCATTCTTTAAGTCCAGTTGTTTGTTTACTACCACTGGTGTCAGACCACAGTTTGTAGCAGGATACCAGGGATGCACATTTTGACTAATTTACTTAAACAGCCACCTGGTGGAACAACCAGGTACTGCAGCTACATTTTCTGGCATGCATTTAGAAAATACAAATGATCTTTTGGAGCTTGTGGAGCCTCCAACCGGGACTCAGTATCAGCAGATAGTAAATATTAAATGACTTGGATCCAATCGAGGGCACCTTGATCAGGACATCCTTACTAATATGATTATACAGCATTCGCCAAACATTTAAACCTGTGACAGTAATTTTAACAGGATCACAGCCTCAATCCCCGACAATAATTTTCTTTGGTGCTAGCACCAGTGGGCAGGCCTTTACCTTTACTGTAGTGAGAGGCGCGGCGTGCTACAGCGGCGGCCTCGGAGCTCTTGCTGGAGCTGCTGTACGGCTGGTAGTCGGGGGAGCTGCGGATCTCCTGGCCTCCCTTCACCTCCTCCGCCTTCAGCGCGATGGCCTGCTCCAGCAAGCCCAGGTTCCCCCGAGTCATATCCCAGTTCTCTGAGTCGTCTGTGATTCCTGAACCCTCCGAGATGCGATCCTGCTCGTCTCCTTCGTCAACCTCTTCCTCGTCCTCCTCCTCCTCTTCCTCCTCCTCCTCCTCCTCTTCCTCGTCCTCGTCCTCCTCGGAGTGGACCTCGATAACCACCGTGGTCGGAGATGCCTTGCTGGAGTCTCGGTCCTCCTCCTCCTCCTCCTCTTCCAATACCTCGCCCTCTTCCTTCCCCTGCATCTCGTCCTCCTCTTCCTCTCTCTCCTCTTCCTGCTCTTCGTCCTCCTCCTCTTCCTCGGTCATGGGGGTGCTAACCTTTACTTCCCTGAGTAGCACCTCGGCTTCAGATCCCTGAGTGCATGGACTCAAAGTGTAAGGTCTGTAATTGTCTTGGAGGACATCCCTCTCTGCTCCCTCCTCTTCCTCTTCATCCTCCTCCTCTTCCTCCTGCTGCTCCTCCTCGTCCTCTTCCTCATCCTGCTCGATGCCCTTACTCTGCTCCCGTTTTGATTCTTTGGCCTGATGGTTGTAATCTCCGCTGGAGTACTGGTGATCAGAATTTTCCTTGCTTATTACCTGCCTTTCCACCTCTCTCTCCTCGACAATATCCTCTGTTTTTTCTGGCAGCTCTTCCTCTTCCTTTTCTTCTTTTGCTTCGTCCGTCTCCTCCTCCTCCTCCTCCTCTTCCTCCTCCTCCTCCTCTTCCTCCTCCTCGTTTGTCTCTTTAATCTCAGTCACACCCGTTTCCTCTGCAGGTTGCTCTGATGGCGGCTCCTGCGTCACCGGCTGAGCCTCCTCTTCACCCTTCGTCTCCGCGTCCTCCTGCTGGTGGTCTTCAGCGAGCGATGCCGGCTTCACTTCCTCACTGGTTTCCTCGCTTTCAGTTTTGTTCTCCGTCCCTGAGGTGACGCTTTTGTTCTTGTTCTCGTCGGCCCGAGGACAAACTGCTATTTCTGGGTCTGCTGTGTCCACCAGTGAGCAGTCTGCTGTGGATTCAAAGTACAGATAAATGCCAGTGTCACAAACGTTCGGTCCTCGTCATTGCTCAGCTGGAGGCCTGCATTATGACTGACCTTGGAGTCGACCTGATCCGACTTGTTCAGCATAAACAAAACGAAGCTTGCAAGCGAGTTCAAGCAGTCTACTCTTTCTATACTCCCCTTTCTGCAAAATACTATTTCCAAACCAGTATTTTTTTTACCTTCCTTACTCAAGTACAAACTCATTTGTAATACCTTGTCACACAGCAGAAAGATTAGTTTCTGTTATCATACACTTTGTTAAAAAGCACTCACTCTTCCTTCTACAAACTGATTATAAATTTAACAAATGATTCTCTGGCATCTTTTCCTAAAGTTCTGTTACACGTGTCAACAGCATCTGTTTGCATTTTGCTAATGAATGAATTGAATTTAACGGTCGTCTGTATCAAAGACGAGTCTGATTCGGGAGAGAACAACGACCTCAGCTGTGGTGTTTAGTGATAATTAATTAGTAATCAGCATGCTAACAAGCTAAACTATATTAACACGGTGACAAATCAAACATGACCTGCTAAACGTGGGCATGTTAATCGTTGTTAGCACGTTAGCGCATTGATGTTAGTAAGCACGGACGGGTTACGAATTAAAACCTGAGCTCTTGACTCCTACAGCGACGGCATCATCCGGTCGCTGTCTCATGCTGTGGGAGGCATGTTTTGGGTCCGCTTGAGTCCTTAAAGGGAAGCATCACTGTCAGTTAATCAAAGTTGTTGTGAGCGACCGCCTCTGATGAAACATTTCTATCCTGATAAAAGTGATCTGTGGGCAGTGTCCCCATGCACAGGACACCAGGGGTCACTGAACGGCTAGAGGGCTAAAACCCACAGTCACGACCCAAATGAAGATCTTTGGAAGAGTTTCGACTGATATTTTAGACCACCACCATCATCAAAACACCACATGAGGGAATATCTTTTGGAAGAATGGTGCTCATCCCCGTGGGAGAATTCAGAGACGGAGAGAATCAGGGCAGCACATGGTGGCCAAGCACCCGACTGAAACACTTCATGTTCTTTAAATCCGTCACCGGTTCAGCACCACGGTGCCTCGATGGAGCCCGACGGAGCAGCCAGCATGGCGGCGCACAAAAAATTACTGTCATCATTTTTGTTTTCATCCTCAACAGATGGTTTTCAGAATATTGTCTATTTGAAGAGTTCATTTGCAAAAACAGATAACTCCATTTTTTTGTAGATTTTCAGAAAACTTATTTTTCTTGTTGTTTGCTTGAGATGAAATCAATCAAACTGAAGTCGAGTGGATTTGGTTCAGTAGATAACTTCAGTTTGATTGATATTGTCTCAGTGGGTTTTCTGACGGTTCGTGTAGATGCAGTTATCTGTTTTTACAAATGAACTCCTCATTTATTCTTTACAATTAGGCAGAGAGTCTTTCCTAACCTGACCTGCTATGCTCTACTGGACACTTTTTCACAAGAGACTGAGGCCCAAATGTCTCTTGTTCTACCCGCTGTCTGCACATAAGACTTTTTCCTCTTCTAGTTTGGTTCCACTCACTTTTTATTGACTCTGGCTTGCTTTTTATTTTGTTTTTCTTCTTGTCCTTTGTGTCTTCTTCCTCCTTCCCTTCCTCCTCCCTCTGGTCCTCCTCCTCCTCTGCTGTGTCACTGTCTGCAGTGGAGCCCTCGTCTGTCGCCTGCTTGGCAGATTGGTTCTTCCTCTTGGGAGCAGACTGGCTCTCCTCGGCCTCGGCCTCCTCCAGCTTCCTTTTCTTCACAATCGGGCAACCCAGTATGCTGAGGAGAGAGGGATGGATACGGACGTGAACGTTAACGTGTAGCATGAACGCAAAAGATAACAACTGTCACGGTGCAGCTCCTGCCCTCTTCCTTGTGTTTCTATTGTTTTCCCCCCTTTTCCTTTAGGTCTCTTGCGTGTTTACCAAAGTGTGGCAACTTGTGCGTTTCTGGTTGTTCATCAATCTACACACCTCATCCACCAGTCGGGCCTCTGCAGTACTTTTACCTCGGCTCTTCATTCCACTCTCTGCCGGTTAATGTCACAGCCAACTCTGCTTTCTGCCAAGTTTGTGCTGTCTCTCAGCCACCTCAGCTACACAACTCAATCCACCGCCTGCCTCCAGCCAGCTCGTCAGCCTTCTAAGACACTGGTTACCGTGTTTCAGCTGGAAGCTCCACACCATCCCTTTTCTAAATACTCTGAATGACTAAAATCCATCCATCATCTATACACCGCTTAATCCTCACTAGGGTCGCAGGGGGGCTGGAGCCTACCCCAGCCGACTTAGGGCGAAGGCAGGGGACACCCTGGACTAAAATAATTTCTTTAATTGTTGCCTTTGTGTCAAGTCTGCTAGTGGATCCAGTTACATTAAACAGAACACTGACATGTGATAACATGTAAGGAGCATTGCAACTTCTACATTCCACTAGCAGGGCGATATGTTTGTGGTATTTTTCTATTATGAAGATATTTTTTGAGTTAAAAAAGTTCGTAAATAAATAATGCATTTAAGAACCACACATCACAATTACAATGTCACTGTAGGCATGCTTCAGTTTGACACCAGTATGATTATACGTTTATGATCTATTGTGTTGTTCCAAATGTGCAATTGTACAATAACTGTCTCGATATCTTCATATATGCAGTAGTGTTTGTGCTAACTGGTCGTCTGTTTGCATGACGTTGGATTTCTGAAGCCTACCTTCTATGTCGTGAGTATCTCCCACTGACGTGGCCTTTGCCGTCACACCCAGGGGTGGGACAAGTGCTGCTGACACACATAAAAAAAACACAAATGTACACTTCATACACACACAACACACACTTCCTACATTACCATGATCTTCTGATAAATCACAAAGCCACTTACTTTAACTCCTGCTTCATCTCTTGTCCCACCAGTTCTGATGACCCTGGGAGTCAAGCAGCGGCAAAGTCATCACAAACGCTCACATTACATTTAAACGGACAACGATGCTCTTATTTTGAAAATTCTTTAGCCATTGCACATTTGCATACAATAAAATTCTTCCTCGTCCCGCTCTGTCTTTACAAGGTGTGTATTAAAGCCTGGAAGCCACACAAAGGAGACAATGCGGCCACACAGCTCCAGGGACCCACAGCAGCTGTTAACCCTTAAATGCATGCCGCGAGTAAAAATGAAGTCTCTAATGTTGTAATGTTCCACCAGGGTTGCTCACTTGAGAGGAAAAACTGTGAGACTATGTGTGATCAGGCGGTCATCTTGTTACGATGCAATGCGTTGCCGGAAACCCTTATGGATGGTACTTGGATACGTACCACCCACCTGAACAAAGCTGCAGGCCAAGCTATGTTTGTACTTCTGATTTTTCCTCTTTGTGTGATGTAAACGCTGTAAACCAATTTTTATTTAACCAGGAAAAGGCTCATGGAGATCAAGAATCTCTTTTGCAACAGCATCCTGTCCAAGCAGCACAAGCAGGTGAACAGGTTACAGACATACAGACACAGAACAATGCACATTTTTGAAATTAGGACTTTTTAAAAAATAATTTTCCCTCACAACCAGCACTCCTATCCACTTCATATTCCACATATTGAACATTTTTGGGATTGTCTATATAAGTGTCAGGTTTGAAGTGTACAGCCTTATTACTGTCTGAGATAACTGGAGTGAAAAATACTATTAGAGGCCAATTTTTTATGAATTTTCCAACTTTGGAAGACAGGGAGCCCGCTTGTGGAACTTTTTGTGGAAGAAGTTCAACTGTTTTACTTGATAAAAACCACAAATTAAAAAGTATTTCCCACGATACTGGAACGGAAGTCAATCAAACTCTAGGCCCTTTCTGAGAGCTAGCCCACGGCCTGTACGGTTTGTTTGTTTGTTTGTTTGTTTCTGCAACGCAACGACGCGGTCTGCCAACAAATTGTAGTACAAACAGTAAAGGCGTAAATGTGAATCGTGTGCAGGCTCTTGCAACAAATCTCCCACATACAGTCATGTGTAGCTTTATAAATAGACGTATGCCATGCAGAAGAAAATGTGCTCACTGGCTCTAAACCTTAACCATGACGTACGCCAGAGAAACACTTCTGATTGTCTCGTTTGAAAGCAATGACGCAAGGACATGTCACTGTCATGCCACTGACAGAAATATTGTCTTTTCAGAGATAAACATTGGATTTCGAAGAAGTTGCGGGATTGTTGTGTGGTGCTGTTTGATTTAATGTGTTGTAATAGATAAGGAAATGCGTCAAAGCAACTGAGAAAACTGTGATAGCGGCTACGGTAGCATGATGATGTTGCAGCTGGAGGATTTTGGTGACGATGAGGAGTTATTTCTTGTGCCGTTCATTATTCAGATCATTTAAACTGAAGCACAAGAATGGAGGAGATATGCATTCTGAAAAGGACAAATGTTAAGAAGTAAGTAATGACCGTGCTGCTATAAATGAACGAGCTGTTATCCTGGCCAGGTTTCCAACTTGGGAATCCACAACTGACAAAATAATGGGTTTTGTTTTGTTGTTATTGTCACACACACTGAAAAGTTGGACAATTTATAAGGATATGTTTTCAATCTGTGGCTTAATCTTTCTCATACAAGTGCAGAGGTATGTAAGAATGTCACCAGTCCAGTCCAAGCTTTGTGTATGTGTGTGTGTGTGTGTGTGTGTGTGTGTGTGTGTGTGTGTGTGTGTGTGTGTATACTGACCCCGGATGCCTTTGGAGCGGGTTCGTGTTCGTGGTTCTGTAGCGTCTTGACTCATCTGAGGTAAACGAGCAAGAGTCGTGAGTGAGAAAGTGCAGCTCTGACGACAGACAGAACGGACAGACGTGGAGATACGTACTTTGTCTCTGAGTGGACTGGCTCTCCCCGGTGCTGCTGCTGCTGCTAGTGTCGGACCTCTGAACTCATTTTCTGCTGGGGGAGACACACACACACACACACAGAAATCACACCCCTTTATTGTGAGCTAGTGATGAAAACAATTACTTTTACACAATTACAATCTGCTGCTTTGATTTCTGTTTTCTTTGCGGCCCCTCCACGTTTATTAGGGTGACGTATTAAAGTGCTGGTGCTTAATCACTGACCAGGGAGGGACTTGAAAATATGACGTTTAAATTCCAGCAAGGGGCCCAATGTTAATTAATGCACCAGAAAGACGTCTTTACGCCGCCGCCGCCAGCCTGAATCGTCGATATCGGCAGAATGGATGCATGCTTTCATGATGTTTATGCCAAATTCTGACCCCACACTCAACACTGCAGCAAAAAAAATCAAGGCTCAACAGAGCAGATCATGTTTCCTCGTCGTCCATTGCCAAGTTTAGTTTTCCCAGACCATTTTCCTGTAAAACCCTGGCACTAACAACCATTCAAGCAAGTTGCTGATGAGCGTCTTTATGTACGTATAAGTGGGTAAAAAGAAGGGTGGAGCAGGCAATCACAAAGGCAGGAAAAACAACTAAACAAGCCAGAAACGCCTTTTAAAGCCACGACAATGGGTCAGACATTATGATCTTCTGGTTTCCAGGATTAAACTCCTTCTAAGAGAACTCACTTAAATCAATTTCATTTTGCAAAATTTTCTTAAGTCTTGAGAAGTTGCTGTTTTCATTAGACAGCCACTAAAAAAAAACTCCAAATAATAATAATCAGGAAAATGAATGAAACAGAAAGTGTGGAAAGTGTCGTAATTATTTTACCAAATTTAGGGGTCTATTTAAAAATGTAAGCAAACAAAGACGTGACTAATTTTATTCATTTCGCAAATACTCACAACGAAAACTAAGAAAATATAGAAAAAAAAGTACAAGTGTAAGTTGGGAGAACATCCCAGCGCTGGAATACAAAGGCTGCTGGTGTGACAGCTGACAGCTGCGGTGGTGACAGTCCGTGGACGTGGACAGGGTCACGCAGGTCTGGAGGATCTCCTTGCCTGCTGCCGGACACACGGAGGCCTCGGCAGCACCGACACCGCCGTGCCTTCACTGGAGATGTTGACGTTTTCCAGAATGACAACAGTCACGGAGGCAGCAGGCTGGCAGCAGACATGGAGGCCGAGCCGCTGACTGAACGAGGCCTTCTGCTCCACAACTGGCACGATGACAAAACACAAAACATACAAAAGCCAGCGGCGTTCAGCGGCTCGCGCTGGATTCACCAAATCGACACCGAGCCTTCAGCGCACGAGCTGGAAATAGCCTAACGACCGACAATAATCGGTTTAAAAGCCTGACCGAGCGGACATTTGGACCGAGCTTCGATCTCCTCCAGAGGACAGAGAGCACCGTGACACGGAGCCGTGGCCTGCCGCCGCCTCGTCACGTCCCTCCTGCTCGGCGTGAGATGCGGCGTGAAGCCCGCAGACAAGGCCTCATAAATACCGACAAATAAAACTGCTCTTTGTCAGACACATAAAGCCTTACCTTAGCTCAGACTACTGCCCTCCCCTCCCCCTCTGCACCGACATGGCAGGCGGACGGTTCGTGGATGTCTGCGCTCGCTGCGACCAACACCGGAGCGGGCCGACACACGGAGCGGTCCGGACGGGAGACACTGCAGCCGCACACTGAGCCCAGCAGCCCGGAGCCGTTCAGCACCCCGGACAGAGCCAGCCGGATCTTCAGCACCATGGACAGAAGCCCCGCTGCACTGCCTCCTGCCGGAGCCCAGGAGAGGTGCAGCTGGAGGCGGCTGACGGAGAGGCCGCCCTGCCGGGGCTGGGCTCCCTGCGAGCCGCTCCGTGGGCTCCAGAGGACACGGCGTGAATATTTAAAGAGGCTCCCGGCAGCTGCGGGTCGGCCTGCGGCGGCGGCTTGTTCTAGTGATGGTGGTTGTATTTGACGCCACTGTGTGCCATCTGCTAACTACGAGGCTCTGGTGGTAGGCCGGACTCTGTTAGTAGTGTTGAGACACACACCTCATGCCGCCTCGACATCAGCCAATCAGAGAGCACGGCCATGTTCCGGTGTCCCACATCAGCCAATCAAAGAGCACGGCCATGTTCCGGTGACCCACATCAGCCAATCAGGACACAATAAAAACAATCAGCCTAATATAAACACAAAGAAAGGACAAGTATCAGTAGAACTAAACATGTTTGGAATAGAAAAAGGTGGACAACAATTAGAAA